TGGTTCACTCATAAGGGCCTGCCAAAGACTGTAAAATATCCCTGTCTGCCAGGATCCTTCTCTTACCATCAGAGCTGCTGGGACATGTGGTCCAAGCGATAGAGCAATTACAGACTCCCTTTCAAGAAAGATTAGAAGTGTTTCTGCTTGTGCCCTCATCTAACCAGCATTTTCAGGAGAGCATGTGGGAGAATGTAGGGGAGGACCCTATCTGACAACGTCTGGCTTCCTTATTGCCATGAGGCAGGCAGGGGGCCGACATGCCGCCAACTCCATCCTTCTTTATTTTCTTTCGTTTCTGATACCAGCTGTCCATCCCACAGACTCCACCTCTGGGCTGCGTGGCATCCTCGGTTCCATTGGCCACATGGACCTCAGGGTACTCGGAGGTTTACCAGCACTCACGATCAAGTAGGGTTCTTGGCAAAGAGGAGCCCTGGTGGTGGAGGGGGTTCACTTTGAGCTGCTCACCACACGGTCAGCATTTCAAAACCACCAGCTGCTCCTTCAGAGAAGGATGAGACTTTCCACTCCTGTAAAGAGTTAGAGGACCAGCGGGGCAGTTCTGAGTCAGAACTGACTCAGTGGCAGTGTTGTTTTTTTTTAAGTAGGGATCTTAGCAGGTTACCAAGTCAGGATCCGTAAAGATACCATCGTAGCAGAGAAGGGATCGTGGCTAGAAAGGCCATCTTAAGTAACTGACTACATTTCACTGTGTTGGCATCATGTGATGTCATATGACATATGTCGAGTCTTATGGGATACAGGAAGAGCCCTGGTGGAGTTAGTGGGTAAGCACAGGGTTAGCAATTCAAACCCACCAGTCATTTTGCAGGAGAGAGTTGAGGCTACTGGTCCTGTGTAAAGATTTACAGCTTTGGAAACTCCTATATATGGTTGCTATGTGTTGGAATTGGCCCCATGCCAGTGAGCTTGGTTTTCTGAGTGGATGTATGCTTCACTCGACATTGCTATAGCTTTTTTATTTTGACATCCTCCTTTATTATATGGTTGGATTTCAAGACAAAGATTCAAGAAACACCTATGCCTTTACAAGTGTTTAAAATAAAATACATTTTTAAAATAACTTAGAGGTGGAACTTGCAAACTAAAGATTTATAGGTTAGATATAAAGGGGGAAGTACATTTCACTTATGCAATAGCAAGAGAATAGTCATTTGGAGTATTGCTTAAAGAAATAGTCTTTTTAAAAGAAAACATTATTGCATGCTAGTGCCATTCTGCAAGTCTCATTGCTAACTTTACATTATTAAAGGGCTAACAACCTTTTTTCCCCCAGGAGCAAAATAATTGCTGCCTTTTCAAGTAGGAATTAGTAGATTTATATCAAAATTTTTTAAACTGTTGATATATAACTACTGTTAGACTATATTCTAACAACTGTAGATGAACAGGACAAGACAGGAACCTGCTTAGGTGACTCCATATGACCAAGTGCCAATTGCCTCCCTCATCCACATGATGTGTCCGGGTCTATGTTCCTTAGTAAATGTTCTCCTTAAAAAAAAAAAATTTTTTTTCATCCTTAAAGTCTGTTTAGATCGGGGTCTCCTTTGTACTGTAAAACAAGTGGCACAATTGGGAAGCAGGATTCCAAATTGACTTTCCAGGTGGGATCTCCGTAGAGTCTGGGAAACCTGACGCCAGAAAGAAAGGGGAAAAGGTGTATTTCCATGGATCCTTAGCGATTCTGCAAGGAATTACAACCCGTGTTTCGGGACCTTCACAGATGTTATCAACTCTTATTAAGCTTTGCTGTATGTTTCTCAGCTATGAATTGTTCATTCATTCTCTCCGTCCTGTGCACCTTTTAACTTGGATGCCATTAGGATAAGGTGACCAGATTTTAACATTGGTAAAGCGGGACAAAAGTGGGACACCATTGATAAAACTCATATCCTGGCGAAATAGCCACATGGCAGCCGAAAACCGTATACCCTAGCTTGTCGTGCATTCTTTCCAAAAATGAGGACTTTTTAAAAATGCCGCGGGACGTGGGAAAAATTGTTAAAAATCAGGACGTCTGGTCACCTTACATTAGGACCTCGTGCTAATAGCCTCCTTCATCTACATGCCGTGCCTGTGTCTTTGTGTTGTCTTGTCCCTTTTAAGACTTAATCAATACTCTCTTTAAATTAAAAAAAAAAAAGAAAGATATGAGCCCATTTAGAAGGAGGCAATTTGTTGTTGTTGACAGCCCCTTTGGCTTCAAGGGTCTTACAACTATATCACGGTTCAGAAGGTGATTTGGACCCAACCGTGCTTAACAACAACACAAATGAGTGATTCGTATAACACTTGAAAAGATACTTAATTTTCTAGCAACGGCACAAGTAGGATTCAAACAGATGAACGCAGCATAGTCCATCTAAATAAAGCTGGCTCAGTGAGGGCTGCAAAGAAAGTGTAGCGATGAATGAGAATGCTGAGGTGGTGAAACAGAGCGGTTGTGAAGGAAATTGAGGAGCAGGGTGTTATCAGGAATAAGGAGTTACTCATTAACGATTGTGTAAGAGGAAAAACTGTGGGAACCAGAGGGTGGTGGTCAGTGGGATAGGAAATCCAAAGAGACTTCACAAAGATTGTAGAGAATTGCTGTTATCTTTCAATTCCATGTTTCATTGAACTCTTTGAAACCCCTTCATTTGGCAGCAAAATAGCTAAACCTGCCAGGGTGACACTAAAATTCTGCAAATGATCGTCATAAAATAAAATTGGTAGGAAATCACAGCAGCCTAAGATCTCCTACTAGTCTTTAGGGCAAACCTTGGCTATTGTCCTCTCAGTAACTGTGGATTGAATGAGTGAAGTTTAAAAAGTAGCCTCAGTTTGCAGTCAATATTGGACAGGAAGGAAACATTGATTAGTGAGTTGACTACAGTTGGAATTGAACAGAATTATTGAGAGTAAGAGGGTAATTGTTTACTCATAGATGAGACAGGAGACTTGAGGGGCCTCCATGAGTCTCAGCGGCAACCAGCAACAAGATGACAGGAGAACCAGACCAGCCAGTGGCCTCTGGGTCGATTCTGGCTCTTGGTGACACAATAAACATCAGAGCAGACCCGCGCCCCTTAAGGGTTTTTTGTTTGTTTTTTTAAACATTTTATTAGGGGCTCATACAACTGTTATCGCAATCTATACACACATCAATTGTGTAAAGCGCATTTGTACATCGTTTCTCAAAAGATTTTCTCTCCACTTAAACCCCCGACATTAGGTCCTCATTTTTCCCCTCCCTCCCC